CACTTATTTCAACATACCATATTGATATTTGTGATGTAATGATTTGCTGACTATGCATATTCGTCCCACGGCTCCAGTTTGTTCCTTTTTTGTATCCAGTGTGTCTCAGGCAGAGGTTTGGGGCATGCTTATGACATTGGTGAGGAGGATAATTCTTCCTTGTGAGGTATATTAGGTTATGCATGATAATGATGCTTAACAAACAACCTGCAAATCTCAGTGGTCATTACAAACACTGACATCCCATTCCCAGGTCTGGGGCTGGCTGGGCTTGGGCTAAGGTCTGCTCTACTACCGCTGGTTCTCATTCATGGGGCCTGGTGGAGGCAGCAGTGGCCACTTGTGTATGTTCTCCTAGTGGGTGTCAGGAGCATAAGAGAGTAAAGGAACACAAAATGGCTCTTAACACCTCACCCAGAACTGGCACAGTCTCTTATCTGCCCATGTCCCTCTGGTCAAAGAAATTCTTATAACCCAAAGTCAATGCAGGAACAATAATATGTATAACATCTGGGTGCTAAATGTTGGTAATACCTCTGCTATGGTCTGAATGTTTGGGTCACCTCAAAATCCATATGTTGAAATCCTAACTCCCAAGGGATGGTATTAGGAGGTGGGATCCTTGGGAGGTGATCAGGACTCTATCCTCATGTATAGGATTAATGCTCTTACAAAAGAGGCCTGAGAGAGGGTGCTTACCCCTTCCACCAAGGGAGGTTACAGTGAAAAGCCAGACATCTATTAGAAATAGGCTCTCACCAAATGCTAAATCTGCCAGTGCCTTGAACATGGACTTCCCAGCCTCCAGAATTATTTATAGTATTTTGTTATAACAGCCTAAGTGGGCTGAGTCTACCTCCCAGTCAAGTCACTGCGAAAACTCCAAATGCTCCTTGTTGCTGGGTCACTCCTCCCACCTCCACTGAGAACCCTGTGTACATAGAAGGCACTGAACAGATATTTGGTAAAAAATTAACTTTGCCAAATTTCCCTGCAGAACTATTATAAAAACTTAATGACTAAGAAAAGCTATTGGCATTTGTTTAATGTCCTTATAATAATACCTCATTTTAATTTTTTAAAATGAGGCTGAAAATAATTTTTAATATGTTTAGTAACTATTTCTTTCAGGAAATTTCTATTCAAGTCTTGTGCTCATTTATCTTTTAAATTTTCCTTCCTTGTTTATAACAATTTTTTCTTCCTCATAATAATTCTTGTTATAGGTAATGAACACTTTTCCAGTTTGTCTTTTAAATGTTTTGATGCTTTTTTTTTTGACACACAGACATTGTTAATATTGATATAGCCTCATCTCTTACCGTTTTCTTTCACGACTTACTGAAGTGCACATTTTTATTGGCAACATGGTATTGCACCAAATGGACATACTATAATGTACTTAATAAGTCCCTTAATATGGGCTATTTACATGCCTTACAGGTTTTTCTCTCATTAGTAACAACTGTGATGAAGATCTTTATACATAAGCCCTAAAAGTGGAAGTATCATATCCAAGGATATTTTTAAAGTTCTTGAGATATTTTGCCAAATTATTATTGAAATCCTATTCTCTAGGCCCCACAACTCAGATCCCCAAACCCCAGGACACATGTCCAGACATCTCCTCATCTAGGACCCACATCCTGGATCCTCACACCCCAAGCCCTGCTAATGAAACCCTTACTGGTCAGCCTTGAATAACAGCAAGCAAGGACAGAGGGCTGACAGCAGGTCTGGAGGGATAAGGGGAAGCTGTGCAGAACACCGGGGATGCTACTTCGGCCAGGAATGCTTTCCCCTGAGGTCTTCCCATGGTGCCTTATTGGGAATTATGTCTCCTCTCCAATGGCACTGGAGAACCCTATCAGATAGAGTTAGGGCACCTTTGTCTAAAAGAGTCTGACTCCAGTTATTCCCTATCACATTATACTTTTTTCCCTAATAGCACTTATTTCTACCAGCTATGATCTTATTAATTTACATGTTTAATTTCAGCAATTGTCTGTTGAATACAGTATCTCCAGCACCAACAGCAGTTTCTGGCACAGAGAAACTCTTCATAAATTGGCTGCTCATTGGAATCATCTGTGAAGTTTTAACAATCCCCATGTTTCCCCCTCCAAAATAAGAAATGTTTAATTATTAAATAACTTTACTGAAAAATGTTAAATATCATTTTCTCCAGGAGATAGAGAATGGAGCAGATAGTCTCAAGCATGTTTATTTACTGCTGCGTGGTTCGATTCTTGCCAGATCCTTTTTAATGTAGCTAATAAAGTGTAGTTGTGAAAAATACAGAAGTCATTGGAATTCTTTAATGAAACTATCATTTGTTTGGAAAAATGTACTGAAAGAACTCGTGTGTGTGTGTGTGTGTGTGTGTGTGTGTGTGTGTACATGCTGGATTGTTTTACCTTCAGTCCAGAAGCAGAGGAGATTTCAGTTTGCTCCCATTACCTGTGCCTCCATTTTTTACTATAGAAGTGAGACATGTTAAACACAGGATGGTGCATTGTACAATTCTACTGCTTGAGAATACAGCAGCATATCATTAAGAATTTTCAGAAAGAACACATTTAACCTAAGGACTCTTAGTTTGTTTATGGATTTTGAATTTTGTATGCCACTGTGATCTATACAAAAACATACTCATATTGAAGTCGCTGTTCACTACTGTGTTGTATATAGCACAATGTTTTCCAAGGCAAAAAACAAACAAAAAAAGCCAATGTTCATGCCTCTCCCAGCCCAGATAAAATTGCTGAGGATGGAATACAGGTGATTCCAATGTGTAGCCAAGATTAAGAGCCAATGACATAGAAGGAACTCAGTAATACTTGTTGAATGGATGGCTCAATGAATAAAAGGACATTGTGAATTAGAAATTGTGGGCTCTGGTTCCAGCACTGCCTCTAATGTGTTGTGTGACCTAAGCTGTGTCACCCCTCTTTTCTGAACACCCATTGTTGCACTGGATGCCTGGTAAGGTTTCTTCAGATTGCACTATTCCTTTTCTTGTTCATACCAAGAGTCCATAGTAGAAGGACTGGGAGAAGCCTAGAGACAGAAAGATTCAGGCTTTATAGAAAACTTCATCCAAGATAAAACTTCATCCAATCCAAAGGCTCATCCATTGAGCCTAATAGGAAGCTCTTTACTATAGTACCCCTTTACCCAGGAATTGGAAAATATTTGTGAGGCTCCAAAGACTCTTGCAATTAGAGTACCACATAGCTCTGTAATGAATGTGCATAAAAGAGATAGAATGACTGATTCCTAATCCCCAAATATCCTACTAGGGAGACAATATGCGGGGGTACCTGGAGCTGGGGAAAAGGGAGAGAATTGCATAAGACATTCATTATAATCCTTCTTGTCTGTCACTGTCTATTAAAGGTCTACTCGAAGGTTATGCACAGGTTCTCCTCTTAAATATGGGCTATTCAAACTTTCTTGACTGCTGCCATGGCTGTTTTGCTAAGATCCTAACAAAAAAGAAGTATGCTACCCAACTCTGCTATTGTCACCCTGTACAGACAGTAAAATAGGACAGTTTCTTACTGGGAAAATTAGTTGCTCATGTTTATTTAAAATATTGCAAGAGCATTTACAACAAGGGACTCACATCATGGCTATCTGAGACCTATTATTCTCCAGGACCAAGTTCCTGGCTGTTTTACATATAGCTATTTAGGCTTGCCTGCTATGTGAGATTTTGCTACGTGTCCCTAGGAATCAGTACCTATCTGGTCATCAAATAGTGGCCACAAATGATTATCATCCTCCATTCCCCCTCAACCCATGCCATTTCAGTGAAAGACAGTTTTAAGGCAAAAATAACACATTTGGGAAGTTATGGGAGTGGGTACCTTAGAAACTGAGTTTCATTGGCTTCACAATGGGGAAGAGCAAGACATACAACACAGACAGCACGGTTTCATCTCAACACCTTAACCTGAATATTCAGATTACTCAAATTATTGGGGACCAGGGGTAGGGAGTGGCACATAGTTTGTATAATATTTGCTAGCTACATTTAAGAACAAAATGGCATTCTTAGGGCCCTTCCAACCACTTGTGTGTTCTGGTTCCACACAAACCACTGTTCTGTCAGAATCAACTCCAGGAGTACAAAAGGTGCAAAAAAATTCTTCAAGGATGAACTGTGTACTTACTTTTTAAGATGCTAGGGATGCAAAGAAGGGGGTAAAAACAAATACAAAAACTCTTTGATCTCAAGGAGCTATAATAAAAGTCTCACATTCCTCCACTCCACACACATATAGAAGGATCTTTTCTAAAGCAAAAGTTTTCACCTAAGTCATCTCTTTCTTCATTGCTTAAAACTAAGAGAGCTGGGAAGCCATACGAAGTACGTATGAGGGGGACCCCTTTACATAGCTGCCATCCTCTGGGACAGACAAGGGGTACATCATGTAAGTACTGTGGCAGCTCAAATGACGTGAACACAGGAGTCCTCATTCTCGGAGGTGTCCTTCCTCCAGAAAGATCCAGAAACCGTGGGTGGGTGGGGGATATTATCCCAAGCTTGGTTTCCTGGAAACACGATGCCACTGGCTAGGACGCTGAGGAGGGCAGTGGGCGTGAAGACTCCCTTCTCTAGGGCTCCGTTCCCGGCCCGTATACGGAGCAGTTTGCCCAAGTGTGCGTTCACAAAGGCTAGAGCCGGGCCTGGATTAGGAATACCGAAGCTCATCTGTGCTCGGCCTCCGACCCCGGAGCGACGGGGCTTCCAAAGTCCACCTTATCCACAGGACCAGGCCCAGTTGGAGAATCCGATGCCCGTGAGAGGCAGGGAAAGGAGGAGGAATGCAAAATGTCCCCAAGATGTAGGAATAACCCCTTCCTGGAGCGCCCTGGAGAACAACTCAGAGCCCTAGCCCGAATCTGCCGCGCCCGGCCCAGCCTCTTCCCAGACACCACTCGCGCAGGCGCAGTCGCAGTCGCGCCGCGCTCGCGCGCTAGCGCGCATGCTCCTCCGGGCCGCGGCGCTCCCGGCCGGCAGCTGCGGCGGCGGCAGAGGAAGTTTCCGCCTTGCACTCCACCCCGTAGCTTGGCCGAGGGGACAGCTTCCTCCAGACGCTTGGCGGGCTGTGCTGCCGCCGCACGTCAGCCCGGTCTGATCATGGGACTGCCCAAGGGGCCGGAGGGCCAGAGTGTCCCGGAGGTGAGAACCCCGCCTTCCCTGACACGTCGGGGTTCCTGAGGAGAGGGCCGAGCCGCGGGGTGGCGGGCAGAGCGGGGTCCTAGGTGTGTTTGGGGCGCCCCGCCCCCTTCCTCAGGTGTGGCCACCGTGGGGAAGCCCTGACCCCGACCGCGGAGGGGGCGAGAGCAGGTGCCCCTGCGTGGGCTAGGGGCAGCGGGTGGGTGGGGACGGACTTCGGCCGCTCCCGGGTCTGTAGGGGCAGAGGTGGCCTTCTCAGTCCGACACCTCCCCTGACGTGGCCTGCTCAGTCTGACACCCCCCCTGACGCCGCCCCTCAAGCTGCGGCGTGCCCGGTTCCCAGCTGCCCCGCTATCCCGGGCGGTCGCCCTTACCCCGGCGCCGCGCCGAGGGGCTCGCCCGGGGCCGAAGGCTGTTGCGCGCGGGAGTCACGAGACGCGCGCGCCGGGACGGTCCGCGCTGGGGTTGTGCAAAGGGCGGTGACCTTGGGGCGCCTGCCGCCGCCACACGGGGTCCGCAGGAACCGGATGGCCAGTCTCACCCGTCCTGGGGTCAGGAAGGAATGCCATTCTCCCTGCATTTCGCGTCCTGGGCGGCGGGAGGAAGTTTGGGAGCCGTGCGCGCACTAGGGTCGTGTGTCAGCCCTCCGCGGTGTTCAGGCTGGGGACGCACTCTCCAGTGGTGCTGCGCAGCCAGGGACCGAGCTCTGGGCGGAAACCTTCCTTCTCCACAAGGTAGCGGGGTGACTTTCCAGAGGTGTTATTAAGTACTTGGTGCTCGGGACCTGGTAATCAGTGGTTTCCGGATTTCCACATTTACTGGGAATAAAGGGGAAGTGCACTCATTTTCTTGTGGCTGCAGATATCACTTAGCTAGGTGGTTTGCATCTGTCTTTCCTTCCGGTTGATTTATTAATAAGCTAGTCGAGTATACTAGATTCTAGAGAGAAATGCAATCCATGCTGCACCTCAACCCCCTTCCTAAGGTTCTGACACAGATATTTTGGCAAAGGGACTGTAAGTGGTCCCTTCACACTTACCTGCCTGTGGCCAGTCTTGTTTCTTTGCACCCTTCCCAAATCCTCATATTTTTCATCCCACAATTGAGAGATCACTGTATTCTGTGTCCAGAATTAGGGATATAGTGATCCAAGGACAGACTTATCTGTCAGTGAGTGCTCCCCAAATGCAAGTCCATTTTGTTGTTTTAAGAAAACCTAAGTATAATGTTGTCAGGACTCCTGTATTAGGTAAAATCTTACATACATGTTGCTTTGATGGCACCCAGGATTGTGAAGAGTAGGATCTGTACTGTGATGTTTGAAGTTTTCTTTATTACTGCTTTATTCTAAGCTCTCATCAAGTTTTTGTCTGGCCTTTTGCTGTAGACTCCTGTGTGGTCTTCCAAGTTCTGGGAACTCCAACTCAGTGTCCCACGGTACTATCAGTGGAGGTCTTTCTAAAATAAAAAGCCACCTGCTCCTGTGTGTCTTTTGTTTTAACTTTTTAGTGACTGCTAGGAGGACAGGTCTACCTTTGTCATTGTAATCCAAGCGCCTAAGACCTTTCCTAGCAATTAGGAAGGTCAGGGTGAATGTAATCAAATTATTATCATTTATTTCAGAGACCAGTAAATATAAATATGGATAGTCTGTGTTATCTAGCATTCACTAAACCAGTTAATTCATTAAATTCATTTTTTAACCCTTTACTGTATGTATGTGAAGGATAAAAAGATAACTAGACTTGGCCCTGCCTTCCAGCTTACATGAACCACAGTGCAGGGCAAATGAAAATTTATTGGGCTTGGTTTAAGAGCTCACAGTCATTCATCTTTATCAGAACTTTAGTTTTAACGATTGGATGTATTAACCAGCCTGGTGACTTTTTATGGCTTCAAGAGAGGATATTCTTTTATTCCCTGTGTATTAGGCTTTTCCATTTTGTTTCAGTGTTAATCTGAAAAGTGAATTTGGAGTCAAGTGTTCCCATTTACTATCTTGTGTCAAAAAGTTACTTAACAGGTTCCATTGCGAAAGTAAACTTCTCCATTCTGGGGGCAAGTGAATGAGAAGCATGGGTCATGCATCTGCAGTGGGGTGGCCACTGGGTGCCCTAGATAGGTATTGGATCAGAGATAGTCCTCCTGTGGTGTATTGTTCTCTTCTTGGAAGTGTTTTCATGATAAATGATGTCTTCATGATAAATGATGATTGAACAAATGAAGTGTTCCTGTTTTACACCCCAGGAGTTTTAGGAAAGGATATGATCTCATTTTCTTTTTCTAGTCTATCTTCTTGAACCATAACTACTTTTATCTTCTTTTTTCTTTGAGTCTTTTAACCCTTTGCACTCGGATGTCGAGTGTGACTCGACATGGTTAGCAAAAATTCTAGAGATTAAAATTACTCTTTGAATGTATCAATAATTTGAAATATAAAAAAATCCAAATAAATATGTTTGTATGAAAAGAAACTCCAGTTTTTTATTCTACTGCTGTGCTTTGTAAAATCTGGGGTATTTAAAAAATTAAATCCCGAGTAGAATAAAGGAATCGAGAAAAAAGCAAGAAAATGCAAAGGGTTAACTTATAGATATTTCTCAGCCATTCCAGATCATTTGCAGAAGGGGAAGAAAGTGTGAATAATTAATATTACTTTTTAATTTTAGTATATCTACTAGGAACTAGTGAATACTAAGCTTCAGACTCCTTGATAGGTTGGACTAGGGTCATTGCGGAGTTATAAAATGAGCAGTGGCTCAAGCCTGTCAATTCTCCTATGCCACTCCTGCTCCATTGCAGAGGATTATCAGTTACTTTAATAATTATATGTTCAACTATATTTTAATATGTATATTCCCTTTTCTGGCAGTTTATACTTTAAAATAAACTTCTTTCCATTATCAAGGTCATGACTATGAAACCATTTTGTTAATACATGACTGGTTCAGGTCATATACTTTATTTAAGGATTAATAGGTCATTCTGTATTTACTAAGTGTGTTCATTGAGCTTAATGCTAGTTTGTTGCAGAGGAGTAAACACAAGTGTATAATATATAGGTCCTCCTGCACCAGCCAGTAGTCTAGTTGGAAAGACAGGCATGTGTGTAACACCAGACATGTCACTCAGAAGAGATTAGTACTTAATTGTATGAATGGCATAGACTATGAGTAAAATAGAAATGCAGCTGAATGACCATTTCAGGCTGAATTTGCAAGGGATGGCATTGAATAGGAGCTAGAATTTGAAGGTGGTTTCTTGGTAGTTAGAGAATATTAAGAAAAGGTGGGTGTTGTAAAGAGTGAAGAAATGTGAATAAGCAGTGCTTGTCTAGGCTGCCCAAAACCATGTCTCAGGTGTTTGGGGGGGGGGGTGATAAAGGTTGAGGAAGCTGGAAAGATAGTTTTCTGCCAAAGATTTGAACATCAAACTAAGAAATTTGGAGTTTGTCATATAGACAGTGTATGATGCATTGATGATGAGGGCTGGGAGGTAAGCTAAAGAGGGATAATATGAAAGCTGTGATTTAGGAAGGAGTGAACAAGACAAATTATCAGGGAAGAAAGATTGAGAGGCATTTGCAATAGTCCTGGAATGAAGTATGGATAAAAGGGAAGGGAGGATAAATGTGAGATGCCTGGTAAAGGAAAACTTAATAGGCATTTTTGGGTGAGGGAGTAGTCAGAGATGAGTAAGAGAATTTGAACCAAGTATCTTTTTTTTTGAGACAGAGTCTTGCTTTGTTGGCCAGGCTAGAATACTGTGGCTTCAGCCTAGCTCATAATAACCTCAAACACATGGGCTCAAGAGATTCTCCTGCCTCAACCTCCCAAGTAGCTGGAACTACAGGCCAGTGCCACCACACCTGGCTAATTTTTAAAGAAAACTAGAGGTGGTGTCTCGCTATGTAGCCCAGGCTGATCTCAAATCCCTGGCTTCAAGTGATCCTCCCACCACAGCCTCCCAAAATGCTGGGATTACAGGTGTGAGCCACTGCAACTGGCAAGAGGTGGTTTTTGACTTTCTGTAGTAATGGGAGAGAGGAAAGATAGTTCATGAAAGTAAATGGATACAAAAGTACTAGAATATTTAGATGGACTTAAGTAGTAGGTAAGCACCTAGGGTGAAAGGATATAAATTAAAAATTTTAAATCAAATACTGATTTACATATATTAGACAAATTTATTATTTTTAAGGCAATCCTTTTATGTAGCAGTCATCACCCTTTACTATATCTGGGTTGAAATCCTTCCTTACATTTGCTTTAGAGATCAGAAAGGCAAGTACATAGAGGGATACATATTTGAATTCCCTTCTTACCCCTCTTGTCAGTAACTTTTGCAACCTCAATGAGTATAAAGTTTTTTAAAAAAACACACCAAAAAACCCTTGTTCTTGTCTATAAGGAGCTTATAACCTAGTTAAGAAGCCTGTCAATGCAATGGGGCAAGATCTAAAAGAAAAAAGAAACCTGTCATGTAAACCACATGTTAGAGAAAAAGAAGGTATTGTGTTCTAATATTCCTTTTCCCTGGATTCCTTCTGCGCAACTAAGTTGTCTATATAGTACTTGTCTTATCCCCCCAGCTATGACACTTAATAGCTTATGGAGGACTGGGGACCTGTTCTTTGTGACTCTGGCAACACTGTCCACATGCTTTTTTTTTTTTTTTGGTATGACTCTTGCTGAATTTTCACGGAGAATCTGTTGCAGTGATATAGCCAATGTTACCTGCTCCTTGGCAATGAAATTATGGCATCAGAGGATACACCTGGTGTTCCTTTATTCAAGATAGCTTTTACCAGCCAAATTTTTGTCTTTTGTTTTAGGTGGAAACGAGAGAAGATGAAGAACAAAATGTCAAGTTGACTGAAATTCTGGAACTCTTAGTTGCAGCTGGGTATTTCAGGGCAAGAATTAAAGGTTTGTCACCTTTTGACAAGGTAAGAGGAAACCTTTCTAACCATTAGACTACTTTTTTCTTTTCAGAATGACATGGTTAATCATGGCAAAGAAAGGAAGAAGAGATTACATGTTTATGTTTCCATTTCTTCCTAATTCAGATTCATTATGGAAGTGTTCAAATTTTCTTTCCAGAGAAAGTAATGATATTTCAGTAAATATGTCTTGAATTTCTTATCTGTTCACAAAGCTTTAGGAAGTGGAAAGAAGCAAAAGAAATAGTTCCTCCCTTCAAGGAATTTACAGTTTAGATAGAGATTGTAAAGCTTATACCATATAAAATAATCTCAGTTAATAATGAGCCATCCCAAGTCAGTGTGCTCACAGACAGTTGCCAGATGTGGAAAGTGCTCTGATTTAGGAGGAAGGAGAAATCACTATGGGATAAAGTCTTTTAATTCAGCAGAAATTTAAATAATTATTTTGCCCAAGGCCTGGTAACAAATATTGAAGGTACACAGATAAAACAAAGGCACTGTGCTCAAAGAGCCCACCTTTCTGTAGAGTAGGAACAACAGATGAGTAAACTAACATGCATAGAATAAATAGCCTGATGCAGCAAGTGCCACAGTGTACTGTGCATAGAAAGGAAGTGTCCAAATCAGACAGAGTAGGCCGCAAAAACTTTTCTGGTAGAAGATAGTGCCAGTGCTGCAGGGGTCACAGTCCTAGCTGGGCATAATAGAATCACCCTGGGTTGTTTTTTTAAATACAGATGTGTTCAGCCTCACACAGTGAAATTCTGGTTAGTTAGATCTAGGCTGGGGCCCTGGAATCTGTAACTGTATTGGGCATCTTACAAGAAACTAAAACACAGCCAAGGGTAAGATTCACTGTTATTTTTTCTAATATCAAGTTGTGTCTGAAAAGGATTTTGTCTCAAGTTGGTTTTTAGCTTTAGTCTCATTTGCATCTCAGATAAATCCCATGGGAAAAGTAGAACAGGGATTCTCAATTAGCTAGATGAGAAAAGTAAGATATATGGAAACAATGTCAGCCTTGCTGTCTACGCTTCTGATCTATGAGACACATAACGTCTGTCTCCTTCACTGTAAAGAGGATCTATGTGTGATATGTTAATTAATGATAAAAGTCAGTTTCTCAGTCATACTAGCCACATTTCAAGTGCTCAGCATCCACGTGTGGGCAGTAGTTACCGTATTGGCCAGTGCAGATGCAGAACGTTTCCTGCACTGTAGAAAGTTTTCAACAGTGCTATTTTAGATGAATCGTAGTTGATGCGGTAAGGAAGACTCTCTTTCTCTCTCAAGATATATAATTTTGTATGTTTATTGAGTCTGTAAGAGCTATTTATAATTTACCTACCTTCTGTTTCTTCCCTCTCTCCAAACTAGAAAAACAAAACAAGTATGTTCTTTGTGTCTTGCAGGTAGTGGGAGGAATGACTTGGTGCATCACCACTTGCAACTTTGACATAGACGTTGATTTGCTCTTTCAGGAAAACTCTACTATAGGTCAAAAAATGTAAGTTATTAGGGTTTTCCATGGAAGAACTTAAAGATACAGAGAAGGGAACTCCCTAAAGGTAGGGAGAAGGGAATTAACTTTTGAGTGTCTGCTATGTGCCAGAATCTGTGCTGGATGCTTTACATATTTTAATTTTTATTACTATAGACATTATCCCTGTTTTATAGATAAAACTGAGACTGAAATAAGTCAAGGTTGCATAGCTAGTATACAAGTCATTTAATGTTCAGGTTATTTCTAATACTTGATCAAAGTTTTTGGTGACTGCTTAGTTTATCTCTTTCCAAAGACAGCTAATTTGGGTGGAAGTTGATTAGGAGGAGAATCTTTCCTTGCCCTTTGCCTCTGTGTAAGGCATAGCCTTACTTTGTCTACCATTGAGAGAAGGCAGTGTGGGCTCCTTGCTAGAGATTTCACCTGAGGGTTCCCTGCCTAGTCTTTCATAGCTCACCAAGGACTTTTCCATTTCATTAGACCATTTAAGATACCTGGTTCTGCTCTCAGCCCTGCCAGTGGGCCACTGTGTGACCTTGGCAAGGTACTCCTTTGGGCCTCAGTTCCCTAATCTGTATGAAGAGAGATTTCCTGAGCTCAGATATGTGACTTACTCTATTTATTCATTTTCTTGAAGTATTAAACTTCCCCAAGAAAAAAACACTTCCAAGAGAATTAAAGATGGCTTATAAATATGCATATGAAGCAGTAATGGTAGAAAAGTGAAACAAAAGAAAATAAAAAGTGGGGACAGAAGACAGAGTTGGGGATAAGGCTACCAAATGAGTGATGGGCCACAGATGCTTTGTTTTCCTAGGGTGGGTCCTAAGCTTGCCCCTAAGCTTGCTGGCAGCCAGCTGGAGGTGATGTCTTAGTTACTGAGAATCAGGCACATTTTAATTTTTTAAATTTTTTTCTTTATTTCAGAATACCGGGGTATAAATGCTTTGGTTACATAAATTCAGGCACATTTTAATTTGCTTCGTACTTACATAGCTTTTTTTCCTTTGAGTTTCTAATTGCCTTTTTTGTTATTGTTGACAAGAGAAGCACATGCTTTTACCTGTAGCTAAGGTCAGCAAGATTTTTTTTTTTAATAGGTTTAGGGGTACAAATTGAATTCCATTAAATGTATGTATTGTATAGTGGTAGAGTCTGGGCTTTTGGTAAACCCATCACCCAAGTAGTATACATTGTACCCCACTGGTAATTTTTCATAACTTACCCCCTCTGACTCTCTCCTCTTGTGAGTCTCCAGTGTTCATTTTACCATTCTGGGCCCTTCTGTAGCCATGTTTAGCTCCTAGCTATAAATGAGAACATGCAGGATCAGCCAGCTTCTTAATCAGACTGTTTACTAGCATGATTTCACTACCTTTTTGAGGGTACTCCTCTTTGATGCCACTGACTTTCTATTCCAATTTTGAGCTGATTGCTTTCTATACCGGTGGCACCCTTGATGTGCTGGGGTTTCTTTTTATTATATTCTTTCTGGGTTGGTTTTATTACTTACTTTTATTCTGGGTTGGATTCTACATGTGCCTCCTTGGTAAATTCCTTTTGAGTTTTATAATGGTTTGTAGCCCCCATTTTCATCTTGATATCCTTGGGGGATATGACACATTCCTATCAGTGGGAGTATCCCACTGTCCTTTTTTTTAAATTTATTTTTTCTTTGACTATCTTATATTAAGAACCACTGTACTTTTAATAGCTATTGGATCATATTTTTTTCCTATGTATTCTCATTCTGTCATCTATATTTCTGAAATCTAAAAACACTGAAAATTGAGTTTTTTTTCTTTTAAAGTTTGTATACAAAAGTTATTTGGAGCCAGGCATGGTGGCTCCCACCTATATTCCTAGCACTCTGAGAGTCTGAAGCAGGAGGATTACTTGAGCTCAGGAGTTCAAGACCAGCCTGAGCAATAACAAGACCTGATCTCTACTAAAAATAGAAAAATTAGCTGGGCATTATGGTGCATGCCTGTAGTCACAGCTACTTAGGAGGCTGAGGCAGCAGGATTGCTTGGGCTCAGGAGTTGGAGGTTACAGCGAGCTATGATGACACCACTGCATTCTACTCAAAGCAACAGAGTGAGACTGTTTCCAAAAAAAAAAAAAAAAAAAAGGAAAAAAACCTATAAAAGTTATTTGGAAGCAAAGCATGACCTGAACTAACTTAAGGCTATTAAAGTTTTGATGAAGAAATAATAATTCTTTGATTATAAGGTATTGTTCTAGATTTCCCTGGAGTTTTACATAATACATAGTCTATGCTCCTTAGATAAACTAAAGTACTAACATCTAAAAATTTGGAATTCTGAAACATATCTGGCCCCAAAGGGTTTGGATAAGGAATTGAGGATGCATTATTTCTCTGATAAGTCCTTGATGTGTGTCTCTTAAGTACAGAGCCATGAAGTATAATTGTGGGCAAAGGTGGGAACTGGGGTTTATGTGGCTAAGGATCCCCAGACTCAGTATTGCACCAGGTAGTTTGTTCTTTATTTTTTGCAGGAAAAATATCATAGCCACAGGGCACTATCCAAAAATCTTTTCTGTTTGGTTTTGGAATGTGTTCCATGTTTGAGGTTCCTCCCCAGAGTTTCTGGTTAGGTGTTATTTAGATTAAAAGTACCTTATGTTTGTAGTTTCTTAGTATATCCCAGTCCATGTAATGGGTGGGCCAGGCAGTACCTCTGAGGAGCACTTGCCTATTGAGAGCATGATTATCTCTCAGGCTCTCTTCTATATGCACCCAACTGGGGCCTTGTTCTCCTCCTCCATCCTTCTTTCCTGAGGGTTCTATACGCTTCTATCTCCACCCCCAGCTGGTTCTAAAGCCCCATTATCAGAGGATCCTATGCTCAGATGCCCATAAATGAGATTTTAAAGATATAACTAAGTTCATTTCAGTAACAAATATTTACTAGGCACCTATGTTCCAAGCACTTGCACATGCATTTTATTATTTTACCTTCACAACTACCTTTGAATAGCCAGGACAGAGATTATACCTAAGTTCTATGATAGGAATGTTTGACCAGAGGGCCTGAGTAACTTGCCAAAAGTCCCAGGGTTGGTGGCAGAGCTGAGATTTAGACCCAGGTTTGATTTACTGTCTTTCAAACCATTTTCAGTAGAGGAGAAAACTGTACTGAGCACTCTTAAAATCTAAAGGAGGGGCCGGGCGCTGTGGCTCACGCCTGTAATCCTAGCTCTTGGGAGGCCGAGGCGGGCGGATTGCTCAAGGTCAGGAGTTCAAAACCAGCCTGAGCAAGAGTGAGACCCCGTCTCTACTATAAATAGAAAGAAATTAATTGGTCAACTGATATATATATAAAAAATTAGCCGGGCATGGTGGCGCATGCCTGTAGTCCCAGCTACTCGGGAGGCTGAGGCAGGAGGATCGCTTGAGCCCAGGAGTTTGAGGTTGCTGTGAGCTAGGCTGACGCCACGGCACTCACTCTAGCCTGGGCAACAAAGCGAGACTCTGTCTCAAAAAAAAAAAAAAAAAAAAATCTAAAGGAGGGCTGGACGTGCTGGCTCATGGCTCATGACTGTAATGCTAGCACTTTGGGAGGCCAAGGCTGGAGGATCCCTTGAGGCCAGGAGTTTGAGACCAGCCTGAACAAGAGCGAGATCCTATCTCTACAAAAAATATTAATAGAAAAATTAGCTGGATATTGTGACACATGCCTGTAGTCCCAGCTACTCAGGAGACTGAGGCAAAAGGATTGTTTGAGCCCAGGACTTTGAGGTTACAGTGAGCTATAATGACTCCACTGTACTCCAGCCCAGATGATAGAGAGACCTTGTCTCAAGAAAAAAAAAAAAAAGTAAAGGAGTCTAATCAGAATTGGACATGTTAAAGTCTTAGGCTAGGAAACCTGCGTGACCTCTCCAGTTGTCACTTTCTCTAAGTTTTAGAAGACCGGGAGTGTCCACCTTGAGCTCCTGGGAGAAACTGAATGGAGACAAGTAGACTTCTGAAAGTCTTTCTGACTGTCTTCCCTTGTCCCAGCCCTCCTGTGTTTCCTCCCATGTCCCTACCTCCCAGCAGTGTCAATACCTTCAGTTGCTTTCATGCGCTGCTGAGACTGCCCAGAGTGACTTTGGTGGTAATTTCTGGGAGGCAGGTTTAAGAGGCTTGTAAACCCTGAGATGACCCGAGATGTCCTTCCCTCTGGGACTTTATGGATTGGGTGAAAAGGCTGGCTCTGAGGAGTGGCCAGGGAAAACTGTGTGTAAAGGCAGGGGATTAGACTTGTATGGTGTTGGAGGTCATGGCCTTTTGTTTTCAAGCTGCTGAATGGTTCTAGGCAATCAGTAACCCTACGCAAACCAGTAGATGTGTAGCCACAAGATGGAGCTCTCCTTCTGCTGAACCAAAATGTAACTAAGAGGAAAGGCTGTATTGATCATGTGCCCCCACATGCAGATAGAAGACCTGTGTTGAGCTAGGAAAGGCTGTATTGATCATGTGCCCACACATATAGATAGTTAAGACCTGTGTTGAGCAAGGATGAAGAACCAGGGTTGATACTCTTTATTTGCAAAGGTTAGAGTTTGGGCAGCAGGGTCACTTAAACATTTATCTCTTCCTCTTACAGATTTCAAAGAAAGTAAGAAATAAGGCTTGGGAGTCTGATAGAGATTAAAAATAAAAAGTAAAGCTTACCAGAGAAAGAGCCTTAGATATGTTGCCAAATGGATTTGTTATTACTTCCCTACCAAACTGTCCCATTCGAGTCCCAAGAAGACCTGGAGAATCACAGGCTTCTCCACTAGGGCAGGCCACAATTGGCAGAAAAGGCACATGTGTCCCAAAGACAGGTTGCTCAGAAAGGAGGGGCCCCAGGAGCAGCTAAGAGCCACATGACAATTTCCGTCTTCCTCTCAGGACTTTTGGATAAATAACTCTTCACCCCAACTTCTGATGGGGAATAAGGGAGAGGAGGAAGAGGCAGAGAATGTTCTTCCCTGTGCTTCCCTCCTGGGAGGTGGACGTTCCCTTTCTTCACTGAATGTGTACAGTGGAGTATCAATATTCCCTTCCCCATATTTTTTCTATTAACATATTTGATTTGACATTTGATCTTATGATCAGTGGGGTGTGACTGTTGTCCTCAGCAGGTTTTAATCCTGTTCCCATCTTGTGAAGCTGTTTTCTAGATACCAGACACTGTTTCTCAGTATGTTCTCTGGGGACCGTTTGCTGGGGGGCTGTTTAGTTTTTGCTCCTAGGTCACCTAGTTCCTAATAAGACTGAGGGAGTAAAACATACTTAGGGGACCATGAGTAGTAACTTGATGATAACTCTTACCCAGGCCTGAGTTAGATGTTGGTCTTGAAGCTATCTAGAATTATTGAACTGCAAAGAGATAAAGGTGGACAAGATTTCTCTGAACAAACAAGGAACACTTTTGGTAGATCCAAACCTTGTTAAATTTGAAACATCTAGTAAGATAACTGACTCCTTGTTCACCAGGGCCTATGTCTGTATAAAAAGCAGTCCTGTACTTGTATACAAGGCCACAGTAGCTGCTGTGACTGGCTAAGTTTTTTTAAAAAGTGTTCTTGAGTGGGGATATAACCTAAATTATCCACGTAGGCTGAGACAGAAGCTCCCCGTTCTCTATATGGCCAAAAGGCCATGCCTAGTGATTTTTTTCAAGGTTCCCAAGTGATGTACCGTAGCTTTGGGATGTACCGTAGCTTTGTCAGACCTACTAAATAACCTCTTTCTCTCCTCTTGAATCCTATCCAATTAAGATAGTATAAGAAACAAGAATCACACAGAGATCAAATACCAGCTGATTAAAGAAGGAGGCTTTGGCTGGGCGCGGTGGCTCACGCCTGTAATCCTAGCACTCTGGGAGGCCGAGGCGGGCGGATTGCTCAAGGTCAGGAGTTCAAAACCAGCCTGAGCGAGACCCCGTCTCTACCATAAAAATAGAAAGAAATTAATTGGCCAACTAATATATATAATATAAAAAAAATCAGCCGGGCATGGTGGCTCGTGCCTGTAGTCCCAGCTACTCGGGAGGCTGAGGCAGTAGGATCGCTTGAGCCCAGGAGATTGAGGTTGCTGTGAGCTAGGCTGACGCCACGGCACTCACTCTAGCCTAGGCAAGAAAGCGAGACTCTGTCTCAAAAAAAAAAAAAAAAAAAAAAAGAAGGAGGCTTTAAGCCACTGTAAAACAAACTTGCATCCAAATCCCTCAGTCACTCCTGCCATAAAACTGTCCTACCCAGTCTAAGCTGAGAACTTCTCCAGCAAGGAAAGGATGCTTACCTCCTCACCTGGGTAGAAGAACACTCTGGAACTTCAGGGAGCCTGGTTCCTCCTCTCCCAATCCCACTTACTCCATAGGAGGAAGATTGAGGAAAGGCGTTAGAGGGAGGTCAGAGCACCCTCATGGGAAGCAGAACATATCTACTATCTCTGGAAATGAGGATAAGGATACACAGTTTCCCTAAATATAGGATTTTTTTTTTTTCTGTTGCCCAGGTATGTTTTGAACTCCTGGGCTCAGATGATCCATCCTGTTGTCTGCCTCAGCCTCCTGAGTAGCTGGGATTACAGGTGTAGGATTGATTCTGGAGTATCAAAAAAATTAAAAGATACTTTTTATTTAAAAGAATATTTTTATACCAGAGTAGAGAACTCCAAATTTATTTTCAAAACGAGGCCTTATGTTTTGTCTCAATATTCTGAGCACCTTGCACAGTGTCTGGTAATTATTTGTTGCCTAAATAATATTTAGAATGACTTTTTTTAAATGTGTAACCTAGTAGTTCCCAAATGTTGAGAAAAGTAGATCAGTAAAATGAAATGTAAAAGAATATGGGGCACTGGAACTTTTTATTTTACTAAGGATATTAAAAAATAATAACTACTACCTCTGAAATCACTATTATTTCATAAAGAAACAATATTTTACTATCAAAAAAGTGACAGGAACATCTTAGAAGAAAGGATGAAGGCAGTTCTTTGGCCATAAATGCACACATCTAAATTGTGCTTATTTTTCTCATTTTGTAGTCATCCAGGAGAATCTTGTTCATGGTCTGTCACTGGCCTGGCATTGAGAAGCCCCAAATTCTTCTAAAGTCTGGATACTGACCAGACTTTAGATGTACCATAAAGACCACTCAATGTGTCTTACTCTTTGCTTGTTCTTTTTCTGAACAGAGCTCTATCAGAAAAAATTGTCTCAGTCCTGCCAAGAATGAAATGTCCACACCAGCTGGAGCCCCACCAGATCCAGGGAATGGATTTTATTCACATATTTCCTGTTGTTCAGGTGAGAGCTTCTGTGTGGTTTCTTGTTCTCTGAACATCAGAATTCATGTAACAGGCTTGGCTTTTGGTCCATCTAGCCTAGATCCTGAATTCAGTGGGTGTGGTATAGATTTGATTCAGCAGAATATGATGTGCTCTTGTCATCATCCTCAAAAGATTGCCAGTACTCCATATACCCCAGTTTCACACTGTCACCTATTATGATCTTTGAATGTTCTCATCAGTGGCTTTTCATTGCCCTTTTGGTAAAGACAGAACTCTATAGCCCTGTGTGCTCCGGTCCCATCTGACCTATTCTGTTTGATCTCATTCCTTGCTTTTCTTTGTTCTTTTTGTTCTAGCCCATCTGACTTTCTTTCATATCTCCCCATACTTATTATGCTTCCTGCTGTCATAAGGCCTTTGCATTGCTGGTTCCTTGGGCCGTAATATACTTTTCCATTCTCTCCTTACCTGCTTAATTCATATTCATCCTTCAGATCTCAGTTCCATCAAACCTCTTCAAGAAGCCTTCCCTTGTCCCCTAATCTACAATAGGTTCCTTTGCTGTATGTACCCATATGGCCATATTCCCTTCCTTCACAGGAATCTTCCCTACTACCGTTTGTAATCATGTATGTTTGTATATTCATGTGTGCAGTTATTTGTCTGCCTCTCCCATGAGACTGTAACTGCATGAGAACAGGCTACATGGCTGTCTTGCTCATTGTTTTGTTTCTAGCACCTCCCAGCATGCCTTGCAATTTGCAGGTATTTAGTCCTTATTTGATGACTAAATGACTAAGGGAGGCTTCTGTCTGCCTCTGGCTTTTACCTAAGGCTCTGTGATTAAGTGGCTTGTGCCATGCAGCCTCCAAAGAGTTGACTGTTCATATCGACAGTTCCATATCCACACATTCAAGCAACTGTGGATTGAATGTGTTCAGGAAGAGAAAACACAATAAAAGATAACAATAAATAATAAAAAATAATACAAATAAAAAAGCACTGTATAACAACTATTTACATAGCACATTGTATTAGGTATTATAAGTAATCTAGAGATGATTTAAAATATATAAGAGGGTTTGTGTAGTTTATATGCAAATAGTATACCATTTTTCATTAGGGACTTGAGCATTCATGGATTTTGGTATCCTGGGGGGTTCTGGCACCAATCCCCCATGGATCCTGAGCAACAACTGCATTCTGCGCAGATCTTGTGTGTGGGCTTCCCCTTTTAGGCACCTCAAAGAGAAGAGGAGCAAAGGGATGGAGGTGTGTTGCTTGCTGTGTGGACAGTACTTTGTGTCTGATCCTTATAGAGTTCTTGAAACATCTGTTATAATCCCTTCATTTGAGGAAAGTGAGAAATGTAATTTCCCTTACATTTGAGGAAAATGAGACTCAGAGAGGGCAATTGATTTGCTTAAGGGCAGAAAACTAGTGAGTGGACAAAAAAAAAGGTTCCAGTCTAAACTCTCCATCTCTAAGCCTGTAGTTTTCCACCCCACTCTTCATGCATCCCCTGAGAAGGAAGCTGCACATCCCTTGCTAGGAAAGTCTTCTAGTTCTGTGTTAAGATTATGCATGTAGTGTAGGAGTTAAGAGCACAGACTCTGGAGACCTCCCGGGTTCACGTCTTAGCTCTGCCACTTTCTAGCTGTGTGACCTTGGGCAAATGACCTAACTTCTTATCTGTTAAATAGAAATAATAGCACCTACCTAATAGGATGGGAATTAAGTTAATATGTCTAAAGCACTTAGATGAAAGACTGGCACATTTTAGTAAGTGCTTTATAAGTGTTACATAGTTGTGTCTGTTATTGTTACATGTTCAATATTTCCTTGCACTAGACTGCAAATTGAATGCCATGAAATTTATAAATTTTAAAAATGAAATTTGTAAATTTAAAGCCAAGACTTTAACTTAGATTTGATGTGTATGTTTGTTGGACTTTCGGTCTTTCTGATGCAGGGGGAGACTACTTGATTCTTTTATGGAAACGGAAAATTAGGGCCCTGGGTGGTTGATTATTACTGAAACCTCTACCACCATCATACTGTGAAATTATTACCTTTCCCCCCAAAGCCTGGATCTCTAGGGATTAGACCATATTTAACCCTGTGTTAGAACTTTGGGAGCAAAAAATCTAGTATAGATATGAGACGACGATGAATTGGAAGTGGTCTTTTATAGTCAGTTTGGGCATTTTGAGGGTCTGTGAATGTTCCCCATTGTGAGTGGAATGTTAGAGGGGTTCCTCTCTGGAAGCCTTCTGGATGGGAAAGCCTAGGCAAATGGTTACCAGATTTCTTAATTTCATGAACCTATAAAATTTTTAGGGAAAACTGGAGGTTGATCCAGAGTTGGCCAGGCAAGGACATTTTTAAAACCAGCTACTATCTTTCTTTCTCTATCATTTTCTAAAAGAATGGCCTTTAAATTCCCAGTCTCAGAAAAAACATAGTCCTTCAAACTAAATACACTTAGCATTATAAAAATCTCACCATGTGCTTGTAGTTTTTTCCTGTTTTTCTGGGGACCAGTGAAAGAATAATTAGGGACCAGCAGTTGGGAACGGAAACATTGACCTAGTTTTCTTGCTTAAGTCTAGGCTCACCACCCATGTTCACACCATTATAGTAAAGCTATATAGTAACACTCTCTGAGTGCCAGCCAAGAAAAAAACAGATCTAACTTCTAGCCACTCATGATTCTAAGTCATATCTTTTTTCCCATATCAGCCGTCTGAATTCCGTGAAGATTGATCTTTTTCTTGGGTGTTAGGGGCTCTCTGTGGCAGAGCTTGGCTGTCCAAGAGGTTTCCTCCATAGCCCATCACGCTGGGAACTCCAGAACAGAGCTGTCAGTTCTCTGAGGGAATTCTGTGACTCAACAGGCATTCTCTTCCTTACCTGATCACACTCTCCAGGATCCAGCAAGGTAGTAATTCAGGGCAGATCTAGAATTAATGGAAGTAGATCTGAAAAGGAAACACATGGAAAGCCAGAAACTGAATCTCCTGATTCAGAAGAAAACAGAGCTAAATTGATTTGAGCAATATTTCAACTTCCTTAATTGGCTCTTATCTGCCCTGAGCTGTTACATTGGGATGGGAGTGTGGATGAGGGGCTACACTAGTTCTGAATGCTATCTGATCTTCTGCCTCTATTTCTGGATTTTAGTCAGTGCTTGGCATCATTGTTTGGAGGTGGGGTGGAGCGGTAGAACTAAATGGAAGATACTAACAACAAAGAAATATTCCTCATATAGTTATTTGCAGCCACTCCTATCCAGGATAGCTACTTACTAAACATGCAGTTTACTTGAGCTGGCTGCCCATGTGAACAAGCATCTCTTTTCATCCCTGTGAGAGCACCGTGCAGCATCATGTCATGGGCCATGCGTCTACTTTCCTAGGTAGCTAAACCTCACCAAGTGTGCTATGCTCTTGTTGAAACATAACTACTGTACCCAAACTGCTTTTGAGATGTAGTAGCTGTTTCTGGAGAGGTAGTGGCAGCCCTTCCATGATCATCAGTGATAAAGAGAATGAATGAAGAGCAGGGGAGGAGAAGCAAAAGCTCTTTTTACACTTTATTCCCAGAGTGGCTGGATCTTCTACAGGCTTTTTGGGGCAGGGATTCGAGAAGATGAGGGTTAGAGGGGATCACTGTTTTAATTAACTGGAGTTTTAAGTTAAGAGAAATGAAGAGCAGCTGCTTCTGGATATCAGCCCAATAGAGCTGGGAAACATTTAATAAAGCCTATTTGTCTGTTGTAGAAGACCCTCCAAGCTGTGACTCCTACCTGTGCAGCTTGCTAGCTACACAGATCAATGAGCAAATTATGTGGTCTCTCTGCGCTTCAGGTTCTATAAGACTCAGCCAGTACTATGTACCTTATAATGTTTGAGGATTCAGAGAGAGAATGTTGTTAGCATCAAATTAACCCAATGCCTTTAGCTATGTACTCGGTACATGCTATTCTCAAATCTAAATATTTTGGGCCTTTTTTCATCCATCAAATGAGGAATTATACTAGTGTTTTTTGTGGTTCTTTCCCTGGTCTGTAGTACAAGCAGCACAAGAAAGAGATTTACATTTATACCTGCTACTGGGACCAGAAGGCTGAGGGGATAGCTATATTTGTCTTGTGCTTCAGTTATTTACAAAGTATTCTAGTACTTGTGATTTCATTTGCTCCCACTTTAGCTCTGTGAGGTAAAAAGAACTGATATCCTTGCCTTTATGAAAGAGGAAAACTGAGTCCTGAGGATATGAAGTAAGGCTTTAAAGCTCTGCACTGCTAGCTACTCAGCGCTAGGTCCCAGTGAATCTTAGCATCTCAGATACCTGGCTGATTGCTTATCCTGTAGGACATGTGTTGATAGTTTATCATCTGGTCTGTTCAGCTGTGCTGAGTTGGGTTCACAAGTTGTACCATGTCTGAGTTGGCCTTCACCACAGTGGAATTTTGTCTCTATCAACTCACATTTTTTTTTCACTTTCTTCCCCAGTGGCTGGTGAAACGAGCTATAGAAACAAAAGAAGAAATGGGTGACTACATCCGTTCCTACTCTATATCCCAGTTCCAGAAAACCTACAGTCTCCCTGAGGTCAGTGTAGTGCTTTGCTTTTCTTGTCCAACTGAGAACCTGAGTACACACTTAGAGACTCTGCAGGAAGGAACAGCTCAGCTCAGGCTCCCCTCTACTCCCACTTCCGTATTTGGCATCTCTGGCCCTACTTGGTCTTGCTCTGACATTGAAACTAAGCCTCCTGGTTCATTAGAACTGCCTCTTTAAATGGCTGCTAAGCGTAAAGCCCTATAATTTTGTTTTTTCTTAGAATGTTGGTATTTGATCTAGAATTTTTATTAATTTATAAAAACCTAAGAGTATATTTTTATAAAGCGTTTTGAGAGACCACTCACATAGGACATCCCTATATTAACAATTTAATAACAATTACAACTATAACAATAGCTCATAACTATTGAATATTTACTACATGCCAGTCCTAGCACATCATATGGCTTCTATTCTGTAATCCTCACAGTAGGCCCCTGAGATAGATGTTTTTTCTGTTTAACAGATGGAGAAACTGAGGCTTAGAGGTAGGTAACTTACCTGAGGATTCAACGCTTACAAGGATTTGAAATGAGAACACTTGTCTTGAGCACTATACTTTATGTCCCTCCTTTTTCTTATTTGCTGTAGGGATCTACGTTGGAGTCCCTACAGAGGTCCTGGCCTTTTCCCATGGAGAATATAATTCCAATTTGTTAGAAAATTGAGACTTGTTAGGCAAAGTAGTAATTAGAAGTCAATTTATAATGTAGATTTCTGAGCAGTCCAGTTTAGTTGTAATCTTCAAACAGGATTTGTTTAATCTCTGTTTTGTCTTGTAGGATGATGACTTCATAAAGAGAAAAGAAAAGGCCATCAAGACAGTTACTGACCTCTCAGTAAGTTCGTTGCTATTTTCTCCTGTCAGAACACTACATAGCCTTCAAATAGCCCTGTGATTTAAATCACAAAAGTGTTACTTCCTGAGGTTTCCATCTGCTGGAATTGCCTAGGAGCCGGCCGATGGGCATGTGAGGGAAGCCCTGCCCGGGTCACTGCTCAGGACTGAGATGCCAGCAGGGACAGGTAGAACTTGCCATACCCACTCCCCTGTGTTCTCACTTCCAGGTTTAAGGGAGAAATAGCCAAATGCAAAGCCCTTCCTCATTTATCCCAATGGCAGGTATAAACTTCAAATAACTCCAAAGAGCAGGTGATGAACTGGAGATAGTAAATTGAGGTAACTCCGTACCCGGGTGATGGCTTTGGAGAGGCAGAATAGCTTCTGAGCTTTGTGTGGGGAATTCTGGGGTGGCCTTTGTCACCATACACAGTGCATTTTAATCACTGGGAGTCTGCACGCATGTACCTACTTCACCAGCATAATGGGCAGTGGAGAGCTTTGATCCTTTACAGAACACTCCAGGCCAGGGCCAGCAGAGTCTTGTCAGCAGCGTCCTCTACCACCAAGCCTTCCTGTAATACCTGAGCTGATGGGAATGAAGCCTTGTGTGTATATTGCCTGTGTGTACATTCTCTTTTCTCTGAAAATAATGTATTATGTTATTTTGCATGCTTTTTACTTTATCTGAATCATACACTAAATATTTTACTCAACCTTGTTTGTGAGAGTCAGCCAGTCGTATATATAAAACTCTACTTGGTTTTTACATTAATAGTTATATATTGTCTTTATTTGCCACCCAGCTTAAATATCAGGTGCACTTTTTTTTGCAAATGACTTGGGTTACATACCTCGTGTAATTGTAAAGATTGAAGTTGTCTGGCTTGTGTGGCTTTGTGAACTGGCTATGGAGTCTTTCCAGAAAAAGAATTCTTGAACTGGCTTATCTTATAATAAAAATAAATGTGTGGTCTCCCAAGGTGATTACTCTGAAAAGAACAATCATCTGATGATTAAGAATATGAAGTGCTTATGTAAAATGAGCCTTTGTCACTTTATAATTGTGATTTGTATCTTTACTTCCACTTTGGAAATGGGAGGGGTGGAAAACCTTTGAGATAGTGACACTCTGAAGCCAGATATTGTTTTCAGATTTGGCGGCAGTATTAAATAATAATAATTAGAAGAAATGATATGACATCAGAGTAATTTCTTTCCTTGTTATGATATGGGCGTCTGTTTAGAACATCTTTAAAGTTTTTAAAAAGATTGATAGATGCAGGGGAAGAAAATCAACCTTAATTTCACAACAGAGAAGCAGCAACATAATTCTTCCATGTTTTTAATGTACATTTTTAAACAGAATTAGGACCGTACTTTAAAGATAATTTTTTTTTTCACTTACCAATAAAGGGTATTTTGTATGCTATTACAGATTCCTCCTAAGAACATTTCTCGTGACAGTAATCAATTGGTTGGGTATGCTATTGCTTTCCCCTATTTTAAATAATACTTCATTTCTGGAAAGATGAAAACCAGGTTTACAGCATAACGTCTGATGAACTGGGTGGCCAGCAGCTGGAGAGGAAGAAAAGGAAATTTTCTCTTCCCTATAAGCTCTGTACTATTTGAATTTTATGCTAAGTCTATATATTACCTATTCACAAATAATAAGTACAAGTTAAAAAATTGTAATGCTTTCTCGAATATCTTCATGTATAAATCTCACTCTGAGCCTAGGATAGAGAGAAAAAATTATATAGGTTTTGGCTGTATATCCCAGAATAAAAGGCCATCATAGCAGTCAGTCATCCTAGCAATGAAACTGGGCCTGGCATTTCTATACCCTGGGAATAGTTGCAGGGGTCCTCAAACTACGGCCCACCGGCCACATGCCGCCTGCCTAGGACATTTATCCAGCCCAGCGGGTGTTTTTGCCACAGCTGCCTGTCCTGCTTAGCAGCCAACTAGTCCCGGACCCACAGTGCACATGTGTGGAATGTGTGCCACACTCTCCAACAGTCTAAGGGACAGTGAACTGGCCTTAAAAAGTTTAAAAAGTTTGAGGACCCCTGAGTTAAGGCCTCTAGAGACACATTCTTTCTTCTTCTTACCTGTAGTGGAGTTTTTTTTTTTTTTAATCCACTGCTGCTTGATAATGTGACAGCATAGAATTTAAGGAAATAATAACAATGTCAAAGACTTACATAATGCCCAAACGTTGTGTATATATGTCTACAACTCATCTAGTCCTCACAACGACCCTATGAAATAGTAGTTTTTTGTTTTTTTACAAATGAAGATAACGAAGCACAGATAAATTGAGTTTCCCTAGGTCACATTGGCAGTGACTGAACCAGGGCTCAAACCCAGTCTTGTAACCACTTTCTACGAGCCTCTAGATAAAATGCTATTTGCAGCTGATTAGAAAATAATAACAAAATAAAGGAAAATGGAAAATGATTTATGAGTCTGTTTGGTTATAATTTGCATTGCTTAGTTTATTTCCTTTTTATGTGTAAACTTAATCCTCATTTAACTGGCAATACATTTTCAGCATGAATGATAAAGAATTTTTATGGATAACTAAGTTGCCTTGGGTTTTGTTTGTTTTCTCCTTTTCTCATCTACTGAAAATACATCTCACTTCTAGAAGCTGTCTGCTTAGGTTTCTTAACTGAGTTCCTTTACCATTAACTTTCATCCCTCCTTTCTACCACTTATGCAAGCACTTCCTTAGCTGGCTTGAAACTAGAGTCTCAAAAACTCATAAGAGACTCCAGGGCTGCAATGCATATATCTCTGGCTTATTCTTGTGAGTCAGTATAATAAACTAAGTAGCTTGCAGTTTTTTATTTGTTATCATTCTCTCCAGGGAAAATTCCTTTTTTAGTGAAGTGAAGGAAATCTTTCCTAGAGGACCAGGTGGTGTGGCTCTTTGCAAGTCTCAGGTTCTAGAGGGTGTTCTCTCCTTCCTTCAGCTTTTTTCCAGCTCTGCCTTTCCGATGGCATGGCAGTGTTTCTTGCCTGCTCCCCATGGATGAATCTAGAATCCTAAATTTAAATTGTGAATGGAAAATTAAGGAATAAAATAAAACTACAGGTGCCTAGTTTCTAGACCCAACCTTTTAAAAAAAAATATGTATGTAGCTGCCATGTGTTTATTCTGTGCATTCTGTGTGCCTGGCCTCTAAATAGGCATTTGATGAGTATTATCTCATTTACCCCTCATCAGCACTCAGGGAGTTATATATTATTTCCATTTTATAAATCAGGAAGTTGAAGCTCAGAAAAGTTAAATTCTCTATGTAGCTGCAGAGCTAGGAAGAGGCAGCTAGATTTTGATTTTACATCTGATTCTAACACAACAAATGTTGGCGCTTTTCCTATTTTCTAACTCTTTACCTGGTTTCTGATCTCCCACATATTCCTGGCACCAATTTTGCAGTAATGTTGCTGACTTACTGCAAGACTCTAGGATATTACTCACCAGGGTCCCAGGGACTCAAATTCATCCAGGGCAGTGGGGTGCTCTCCCACTACCTCTTCAGTCCTGATGGGGCCACTTACTGTGACTGTTCTCATTTGAAGACCTTTGCCCAGCCAGCAAATGGGTGCCAAGTGGAGGTTGTCCTATTGTCTTTTTTCATCTGTCAACATGATACCATTATGCCTTAACCAATAGACTTTTGCTTATTCTTGCTGAGACATAACATACCAGTGTTAAACATTTAAATATTAAATATTTAGCTTATTCTTGTCCTTAGCGATCCTTAGAAGACTATCTCAGTTGCTTGCATTCATCCTTGGTTATATAGCTCGTCCATTATTTTAGTGTATGATTTTTTTGTTTTAGAAAAGGTTACTTTTATTTTATGCTAATACCATAGTAATAAGAATGAAAAATTAGGAAATGGAGAAAAACTGCAAAGACTAAATCACCCATAATACCATCAGCTAGAGATAACCACTGATAGTCCAAGTAGGAAATACAGTCCTATGGATATCAATAAAGAGAATTAGAGATTGCAAAAAAAAAAAAAAATAGCATTATACTATATATTGTTACTTGCTCATTTTGTTCAACAATATAGCAAGACTGTCTTTCCATGCCAGTAAATATGACTCCATAGTGTTTTTAGTGGCTACAGATTATTCATTGTGTGGAACTAATTTAATTAGCTTGGTTTGTATCTTTTTTGTTTTTTCCTCTTGACCATTATGTAGGACATCCTTCTAGCTAAAGTTTTTGTTTTATCTCTAATTATTTACTTAGGATCCAGTCCATGAAGTGGAATTGCATCAAAGATTATGCCAAAGGCTTTAGTACCTCTTGCCAGATTGCCAGGCAGAAAAGTTGTTGTGAACTTTATCATCTGAGCTAAAGCTCATCACTTTGGGGTGTTTTCTTTTTGCTTTGGCCTCATTTTTCTTCCTTGTAGAGATTATTCCCAGTACCTGTATTCTTCTTTGAAATGTGTTACTGTTTTAGTTTTTATCCTACCTCTTTTTCGCAAAATAGCTAGCAGCTTTGTAGTAGGCCTATTTGATAGGAGGTGGTATTTTCAAAGGACTTAAGAAACAGAAATTATTGCCACCCCAGGGCAGGCCTCCACTTAACCACCTTCTGCTTTTGCATCCTAATCGTAATGGGCTTTTTTGTCTCACTTAGTGTGCTGTTACACAGCTTTATTCTCTGAGCTGTCAGCCCTCCATATCCATGAAGTATCTGTCCTGTGCACTGAGATCTTTTACTTCTTAACCTTGAATAAATGGTGTCCACAAAATTTTACCCAAACCCCCAAAAGATATATTCATTTACTACTTACAAGCACGTTTTAGGTAATGTTTAGAATTTTATATGAGAATAGAGGGAACAGAAAAAAAAGGCTTCTTAGAGCTTCTAGTCTCTTTGGAAGGGAATGCTTTGTTGACCTTATTGGATCACCTAGGAGACCATGCCATTTAAAATTCCTACTCCAGTGCATTCTTCCA